GTTCTTAATGGAAATGTTTTTAGTTTCTGTCTATTGAGTATGATGTTGGCTGTAGGTCTTTCATATATGGCCTTTGTTATGTCGAGATATGATCCCTCTATTCCTACATTGCTGAGCGTTTTTATCAGAAATGGATGCTAGATTTTGTCGAATGCTTTTTCAGCATCTATTGATATGATCATGTGTTTTTTATTCTTCATTTTGCTTATGTGGTGTATCACGTTTATTGATTTGCGAATAGTGTACCAGCCTTGCATCCCTGGAATGAATCCCACTTGGTCTTGGTGAATAATTTTTTTGATGTATTTCTGGATCCGATTTGCTAATATTTTGTTCAGGATTTTGGCGTCTATGTTCATCAGGGATATTGGCCTGTAGTTTTCTTTCTTCGTAGGGTCTTTTTCTGGTTTTGGAATTAGAATTATGCTGGCCTCATAGAACGTGTTTGGAAGTCTTCCTTCTTCTTGAATTTTTTGAAATAGTTTGAGGAGAATGGGTGTTAGTTCTTTTTTGAATGTTCGGTAAAACTCCCCCGTGAAACCATCTGGGCCTGGGCTTTTGTTTGCTGGAAGAGTCTTGATTACCTCTTCAATTTCCTTAGTTGTTATTGGTCTGTTCAAGTTTTCTATCTCTTCCGGGAATAGTTTTGGGAGACTGTGTGTTTCTAGAAATTTGTCCACTTCGCTTAGATTGTCGAATTTGTTGCCATATAGTTGTTCATAGTAGTTGTTAATGATCTTTTGTATTTCCGTGGTGTTGGTTGTTACTTCTCCTCTTTCACTTCTGATTTTGTGTATTTGGGTTCTCTCTCTTTGTTTCTTGGTGAGTCTAGCTAAGGGTCCATCAATCTTGTTTATCTTTTCGAAAAACCAGCTCTTTGTTTCATTGATCCTTTGAATTGTTTTTTTGGTCTCTATGTCATTTATTTCTGCTCTGATCTTTACTATTTCCTTCTTTCTACTTGCTCTGGGGTTTTCTTTTTGTTTGCTTTCTAATTCTTTAAGTTGTGAGGTTAGACAGTCAATTAGAAATTTTTCTTGTTTTTTGAGGTAGGCCTGTAGTGCTATGAACTTCCCTCTCAGAACTGCTTTCGCTGCATCCCATAGATTTTGTGTTGTTGTGTGTTCATTTTCATTGTATTCCAGGAAGTTTTTAATTTCTTCCTTGATCTCCTTGGTGACCCATTCATTGTTTAATAACATGCTATTTAGCCTCCATGTGTTGAAATGTCTTTGCATGTTCTTGTTGCAACTGATTTCTAGTTTCATGCCATTGTGATCTGAGAAGATGCTTGATATGATTTCAATATTCTTGAACTTGTAGAGATTTAGTTTGTGTCCTATCACGTGGTCCATCTTTGAGAATGTCCCATGTGCACTTGGGAAAAATGTGTATTCTGTAGTTTTGGGGTGTAATTCTCTGTAGATATCTATTAAATCCATTTGGTCTAGTGCTTCATTTAGAGTCTCTGTTTCCTTGCTAATTTTTTGCCTAGAGGATCTATCCAATACTGTCAACGGGGTGTTGAAGTCCCCTGCTATGATTATATTGTTGTCGATTTCTCCTTGGAAGTCCTCCAGAAGATTTTTAATATATTTTGGTGCTCCTATATTGGGTGCATATATGTTTATCAAGGTTATATCTTCCTGTTGGATAGATCGTTTCAATATTATGTAGTGGCCGTCTTTGTCTCTAGTTATGATCTTCATTTTGAAATCTATTTTATCAGATATGAGAATTGCTACCCCAGCTTTTTTTTGGCTTTCCATTTGCTTGAAAATTTTTTTCCATCCCTTCACTTTCAACCTATGTGAGTCCTTTGTTGAGAGGTGGGTCTCTTCTAAACAACATATAGATGAGTCATGCTTTCTTATCCAATTAGCTACTCTGTGTCTCTTTATGGGAGCATTCAATCCATTTACGTTTAAGGTGATTATTGATATGTACTTATTTATTGCCATTTTTGTTTAGTGTGGTTCTATTTTTCTTCCCACTTCTACTGCTAATTACAGCAGTCCTTTTAACATTTCTTGCAGTGCTGGTTTGGTGCTAATGTATTCCCTTAGCCTTTTTTTTTTTGTCTGGGAAGCTCTTTATTTGATCTTCTATTTTGAATGATAGCCTTGCTGGGTAGAGTAGTCTTGGATTCAGATTCTTGTTTTTCATGACTTTGATTACTTCATGCCATTCTCTTCTGGCCCTTAGTGTTTCTTGTGAGAAGTCAGCTGAGAGCCTTATGGGGTTCCCTTTGTAGGTAACCTGTTGCTTATCTCTTGCTGCTTTTAGGATTCTCTCTTTGTCTTTAATTTGTGGCATTTTAATTACTATGTGTCTTGGTGTGGGCCTGTTTGGGTTCTTCTTACTTGGGACTCTCTGTGCTTCTTGAACTTGAATGCCTTCTTCCTTCACCAAATTAGGGAAGTTTTCTTTCACTATTTTTTTTGAATATATTCTCTATCCCTTGCTCATTTTCTTCTTCTTCGGGGACTCCTATGATGCGGATATTATTACGTTTCCAGTTGTCCCATAGTTCTCTTAAGCTGTCTTCCTGTTTTTTAATAGTTTTTTCCTTTTGTTTTTCTGATTGGTTGATTTTTTCTACCCTGTCTTCTAATTCACTGATCCAGTCCTCAGCTTCCCCTATTCTGCTTTTTAAACCTTCCAATGTGTTTTTCATTTCGGATATGTCATTTTTTATCTCTTCTTGTTGGTTTTTAATTTCCATTTGGCTTATTTTCAGTGTCTCTATGTCCTTACTCATGCTGTTCAGCTTCCTCAAGATCATGGCTCTGAATTCTAGCTCTGTTAAAATGCCTAATTGCTCCATATTGATCTCATCTTCGGTGGAGGTGTCTTGCTCTTTCATTTGGCTTCTGTTTCTGTGTTTCACCATTTTGGCTATCACTGTGGGCTTTGGAGCCTGTCAAGTTCTCCCTGTGGGTGTTGGTGTTCTGCTGTTTGTGGCTCCCTCTCCTGTGTTTAGATGAGCGAGGGAGGACCCTCGTTGAACATCACTGTTAAGTCTTACTTTCCTGGTTAAAGTTGCCAGCCCAGGAAAGGTACTGTTATCCTCTAGCTTTTTGCCTGGAGGCTAGCAGTCTAGGTTAATTGATCAGTTTTGGGTTGTCAGTTGATTGAAAAACTCCCTCTGGTGCTCAGCCAAGGGGCTTTCACGAGGGTGGGGCAGATGCTGGTTGTTTGTGAGCCTCAATTAACACTGCAATGGCCCACAGGGTGGGGTTGGATCTCCGAGGGAGGGGCTGCTGCCTCTCCTCAGAGCCCTGGGAACGAGCAATGTGGCCACCGTCCTGAGTGGCTGCACTCAGCCAAAGCTCTGAGCGCCCTCCAAACCCCGAGTGTCCCGACACAGATCCAGTCCAGTCTGCCCTCCCTCTGCTGGAGCCCAAGGAGAGTGGCTGTGGCTGTTTCAGCCTCTGTCCCGGCTCTGCGCTGTGGAGCCGCCTGGGAGTGTAACCCGCGGGTGCCGCTTACAGCTAAGGCTGCTGCCGAGCTGCCGACCGTGGGCTCCCAGCCCCGTCTCGCGCCTTCGCAAGCCTACCGGGATCGAGTCAGTGTCCCTCGTTGTATGGTCCTCGCAAGCTGCTTTTCTGTTGGTTTTTCCCGTCGATTTGTCTGTGTTATAGTTGTAATTCCAGTTTGGTTCTGGGAGACAGTCTGTGTAGCTCTGTTCACTCCGCCGCCATTTTTCGGTTCTCTGTATTTTTCTTAATATATAGATGATTATCTTTTTTTTTTCTTTTTTTTTTTATCCTCACCCCAGGACATTTTTCCATTTTTTGTTCAGCTAGAGCGGGAGGGAGAGAGAGGAAGAGAGAGAGAGAGAGAAACATTGATGTGAAGGGACACATCGAGTGGCTGCCACCCGCACGACCCAACCAGGGCCGGGGACAAACCACAACCAAGGTATGTGCCCTTAGCGGGAACCAAACCTGGGTTTCTCCAGACCGTAGGCCGACGCTCCAACCGCTGAGCCAAACCGGCCAGGTCAAAAGTCTTCCCATCTTTAAGTGCTGTGTCTCCTAGGAAAGTTTTGTGACCCCTGCTGCAAACATGTTTCCTCTTCCAGACTACAGTGCCTTCTATATCTATGTATGAAATGGTATCTAGCCCATTCTGTTTTATGTGACTTTTATATCACTGTGTTTTTGTTTTTTTATTCAATAATTATTTTCTGCTTCTTTTATTCCCTGTTTCTATCTCTGTTGATAAAACATGAGCTTTTTGGTTGTGTTCTAGTTATCATTATATTCAGAAGGATCTGGAAGATTTTTCTTGGGCCATAAGAAGCAGCCCATAGAGTTGTTGAATTAATTAGAACTAGTGGGCCACATTTTTAGGTATAAGTATCAAACTGAACCTTTCATAGAACTAGAAAAGAGTAAAACTAGTCTTAGCATGCTAAAAAAAAAAAAAAAAAAAAGAATCTTTAAGTGTGCCTGGAAGGAAAGAATTCAGCTGTTTGACAAATAATGTTAGTGAGTTTAGAGTGGGTGTATTGCCAGAAGTCAGTAGCCTATGTCAGACACTTGGAGTCATGAATATCATTCTACAAAGCTAAATACTTGGTTTGCATATTAGACACACATTTAAAGCTTATGAAGAGTCTACAAAACATAAAAGGAATATTCTAGAATCTGGCCAGTTTTTAAAAACATAACGTACAAATCCTTTATGTTTGAATAAAAACTTGTATTATGAAGTGTCCTCAGTTTGTTTAGGGGCTGGACATAAAATTTGAACAAATATTTTCAAGTAGTACTAAGAACAACTTTGTGTTGATGATGATGATGATGATGATGATAATGTGAAGGGATCTTAAATAACATTTCTAGTATTTGGAAACCTATGAAGGCCGTATCTACACAAAGAATAGGGGCATTAGCTTGAGCACAGTCATTGACTGAGTCTTTAACATTTCTGTCCATTTATTTGCATTTCCACTGCTTATTTGATTCACATTATCTATATTTTCTTCTTAGATTATTAAAAAGGGAAGAAAGTTTCACATTCATTCCTCGGTCCCGTGAAGAGCTTCCTGACAACTTTCCAAAGGAAATCCCTGGGATCTGCTATTTCCTGGAGGTGAGGACTGGTCCCAAGCAGCCAAAGCCTTCTCTTTCTTCGTCAAGAATAAAGAAGATTTCCTACAACATTGGCACCATGTTCCTCCGGGAGACAAGCCTCTGAGACCTGTCACATATCAAAGACTCCTCCAAAAGCACAAGCCCAGATCACAGGGAACAATGGGAGAGTGGACAGAGATTCTCTGTCACTGATTGTTGGGAACGAACAGCGGAATTTGTTATGTCAGGCAATAATCCTAGTAAAAGGTGGGTGACAACTATTAATGAAAAAAATGAAGGGTGGGGGAAATAAGGCATGTCCATCCATATGAGTGTTTTTGGTTACATATATATTTTAATTACAAGTATGGGCCCTCTTTTAAAACTAGCCAATAAATAGACTTCACCTTTTCCTGTTTGTCACACATACAGGTATCTTTCCCTATATATTTGTTTCACTTTTGAGAGCCAGTTTTGAGTGTGTATGCCTACATTTAGTGAGTTGGTATATGTAGAACATTTTCTAATTTTGTTTTTCTGAACAGACATTTCATACATATATTATGGCAGTGTGGTAAACTTTTCAGCAGGAAGAACTGTAACTGAGCAAAATATTTTAGGGATAGTACCTATTTTTATACATATCTCTTCTTCTAGATCATTACATTTCACACAACAATATTAGATTTTCAGAATCTGCTACTATATAGTTGGTATGTTATGTAACTCTAACCTATTAATTGAATACAGTTTTATTTATATAGAGTCATTAGGGGCTTAGACTGAGAACACACATAACCAAGGATTCCAGATGCTGAGAAAGAATTGTACATCTTCTTGGTAAATATATCTTTTAGATTGAATTAATGTAGCATGGAATCCAGAGGCAATGGAATTTCCTAATAGCACATATATCTGTAATCAGGATTAAACAAATGTCTTTTTTGCCATCTTTTAACAAATATCAATCAAAATAAAATGCTCTCTACATTGGACCCCTTTCAACTTAGCACTTATACACACAGGTAGTTGTCGTAACATACTACACTGCATTCTAATATAGCAGCCTACTAAATAACATGTTCATCCTCTCCCATCCCATCATGGATGGCTCCTAAGGCCACTCTTGGGAGTGAATCTTAGATACTACAACAATGTTGTTCCTTCTTGTATAATAAAGAGCAAGGGAAAATACTTGTATTTTATGGCTTTGAGATGAAAAAAATATGTTCATCAGCAGTTTGATTGATTTGGCTTTTAAATTCAGTGAATCACCTTCAGAATACTGAAGCAGCTCTAACCTTCAGACACTCATCACTACAGTTACAAAGAGGCTTCCATTGAATGTTCTGCTAAAATGCAGACCACTTTCTAGTAATTAGCACTGCATGAAAGTGTTATTACAGACTCACCCTGAAATTAGGAGCACAGTGTGTCCAGAGGTTTTCTATTTTGAATCAGATATAAAAACCTAAGTTTCCATTGAGGTTAATGAGCTGGAAAGTTTTGTTTCCTTAAAAACTTAGGGTGTCCATTTTTTCACTCTAGTACATATACTCATTAATACCTTATGTCTACTGAATACCATATATTCTTCTGGTCAGAGATTTTGACTGCATTATGATTTGATTATGATATAACTCAGCTAAGGGTCATATTAACTAGTGCCTGATGTAGTCTGTAAGGCTGAATTAGTGTTTTTAAGTTCTCTAAGTGTGTACAGCTAGAAAGTATTTATAAATATGCAAAGTATCTGTTATAATGGTGATCAATTGTATAATTGTTGCACTTTGTTCTTGCCCTGGGGTTTGTGTAGCATTCTTCATGTGGGACAGGACCTAGAACCAAGCTCTCTGAATCCTGGCCAGTCCTTTCTTCCTTGAGTCTAGATCTCTGTTTTTAACCTCATGGGGTTAGAAGGGCTGGGTATATATGGGAGGCTGTGTAGGCTAAGGACAGGGTGCTGTCATGGGAGTAATCACTCACAAAAGAACTTTTCAGGGCACTGGGAGATGAATGTACTTTCTTCATGGAGAACAGGGCCAGCTGCCCAGTCAGTGCCCAGAACAGGCTGGGAGCAAGCACCTTAGTCCTCATGCCCAGAATAGGAAATCCCTTAGCTATGTTGGTGGGCTCCTTGTAGCACGGGAGCATGCAAAGAGAACCCAGTTCACTGAAGTCATTTATGCTTATTCTGCACCGTAACTTAGAACTTACTATGATATGGTAAATCAATAAATGTTTTGGCAGTAAACATATTCTGTAAACATAAGCCTGAAAGAGATTTTCAGGAATCATCCAATCTATTTCCCTGCTTCTTGTAAAGATTTGTCTAAGCAGCTATTCTAAACATATAGTTATTATCTCTATAATTATGATCACCTATAGAGAGTATATTTGAAAAGCATCACTGGAAATCCACTTTATTATCTGGTAATGGTAATAGGGCCCCAAACAAGAATTGTATATGCATTCAATTTGTCAGAAAAATAGCAAACTCTTTCTTAGTTTATATGATATTACTTGGAGAAGAAGTAGCTCTTTACTTTGTCACCAATGTCACAATGAAGAATATACCACAGATCTATTAAATACCACAGACACAATGTAAGCTACATTTTTTTTATACAATATAATCTAAATATATCTTTAAAGCTATTGTTGGAGGCAGTGGTCTAATCTGTTACCATTTTGCCAATTTAGTACAATTGATCACTATAGTTACACTGTTATATGTATTTGCAAGGTACTGTTTACAATGGTTGTTCATGCTAGCTATAGTCATAGAATTTAGAAGCTGTGAAAAAGCATCCTATTTTTCTCTTACATAATACATTACACATATTTTCATTTAGGAATTGTCACTATAACAGTGAGTAGTAGTTGGTATTTCATCTGACCATAATTTTAGAAAGAATAATACTCAGTGCCTGGAGAAATGCTGTGTAGTGTGGTATGGATAAGGACCCAACTGTTTAAAATCTGCCTCAACATTCATCAAGTTTCTAATATTTTAAATTATGAGTTTTCTTTTTAATGCCTGGTTATATGAATGTCCAGTGAGGTATGACCTACAGAGACAGACACTGATGGCTGAGACTTGACAGTAGGTTCATGAATTCAGCACTTCAAATGTGAACTCTCATGGTTGAACAGTTGTTCCTCTTGTCCTGTGACAATGGTATCAAGAACATAGTGTTTTATTGTGAAAATGCAAAAGTGTGTGCCTCTCCAGGAAAAACAGAGCAAAACGGAACAACGACCAAAAGAATAGCACTCATTTACAAGTGCAGCAAGGCTTTTCATTTTCAAAATTGCTCCAAAGAGTTCCAGCAATGAAGCAAAATTAAACTGATACATACAAAATGCAGATCCATGGAGAATTTGGAAAACTACCAGGCTCTGTGTTTTGTACACAGTCATATTGCTACCAATTGAAATAGTGTATTTGAGATTGTGAGGTATCAAGAGAGAGCACAAGATTATGACCACTATTAAATATGTTTCATTGGGTTTCTGACTTGCTCAGGACGTGTTGCAGATCACCAGGGCAGAGAGTAAATCTTCTACACATGGGTTTCTACCTTGTCATGCATTTTGAGCACTGTGTAGCCCATGCCCAGACCCTCTCTTACTCCATATCATCACTGGAAACCATCTCACCCCCCAACTCCAGCCCATCTATCCCCACCCTCTCTGTACCTCTGAACTTAACATAGCCACAGAAAGTTTCTGAGGCCTGTTTCAGGCTAATAGGAAGATTCTCACAACTCCAGGCCCAAGGAACAATGCAATTCTGAAGCGAACTAACCACCCCCACCAGTGGTGGGCACTGCTGACATCTAAGCTTCTCCCTCTGCTTTTTCAAACTACAATCTGACACCAAGCACTTGCTATAACTGCACTGGGCATCCCTTCAGAAGAATAAGTCATGTATCAGTTGCCTTCCAGCCAACAATACCTATCCACTCAAGACAAACAACCAAGTTCCATACTAAAGCCTGTGCATATTTATTATGAGATTACAGGTCTTTAACTACAAAAATTGTCATTTCGGAGGCTAGTCTGAACATAGAAAAACATGATGCATAAGAGACCGAATTGTTAAAGTTTAACATATTCCATTTTGAATGATGATTACTTACCGGTGATTCTGATGTGAATATGCTTAATTCACAGTCAGATGATTTAACATACACAAATGTTGGGTTAAAATGATTGAATGAATTTACTGTTAAATGTATAAGTTGACCCTAGTCTTGGACACAACTTCTGGATCCTTGTGGTGGTGGCTGAAGAACAGACACTGATATTATATACAGATTAATATAAATCTTGTCAGAATATGTTGAGATAGTGTGCAAAATTCCTTCCTCACACTTGATTCAAACAATGGAGACCCAAGTATTGTTGTACTACCCCTTTTCTATTTCCTTCATTCCTTTGTCTCTTCTTTCCTTTCTTTTTCCTTTCATTAAAAGAAGTCATTGATGTACAGGATGGGGCAAAAGTAGGTTTACAGTTGTTCATATGGAAAATAATACAATAATTAATAAATAATAATACAAGAATAAACTCTGTAGTTTCTGTACTTGCAACTATAAGCCTACTTTTGCCCCACCCTGTATTTATAACACAGACAGAATCATAGCCAATCACATGAAAATGTGTAGGTATAAGTGTGTGTTGAATGTAGCTATTTCAAGATTAAAAAGAGTGACATTTTCGGAGGATTTGGGATGTAGAAAGGTAAAGTTTATGTCTTTATTTCTAACATGTTGTGACCAGACCACACAGTTTCAGTGGTGTTTCATTACCATCTCATCCTTATTAAGAAATCACTCTAGGCAAGGCTAATATGTAGCCAGATTTGAGATCATTGAAGAGTATTCAAATAATCCTAATTACTAGGAATAAATAAAACTTGATTCAATAACAATATATTATTTTATTTGTAGTTATTTTGAAAGTTAAATACTCTGAACTTTATAGCGTTATTTTTCCACAAGTTTTCATTTTAGCTGTGCTTTCAAATTTATGCTCTGCTCCTTGAGTATGAGTCTTCAAACTTACCAGAGACAGAAATCAACACTGATAAGCATGAGGGATGAATATTGTTCACTATAGGGCTATTAGGCAAACTAGATACAGTACCGTTTTAATTACTGTCTGAACTGTGCAATATATCACTATATTTGCTGATCTTCATCTCTGAGATATAAACTATGAACTTTTGGACAGAGAAGCAAATGTCAAAGTGACAGCCTTATTTCTGAATGCTTTAGGGTTTATGTTATGAAAAACCAACGTGATACTTAGTCTCACTCTGTACTTTCCACATTGAACTGTACATTTATCTAAAAATAATTCCTTAGCAATATCTTATAACAACCTTTCAAGCAATAATTTAAGCCATGGTGATGATGCCATATGAAACTTGTAGTTTTGTGTCCTTCATAGAACTTTTAGT